TTGGGAAAAACACCGGGCAGTTAATCAAATGTAAATTCGAAAACGATCGCCGCCCACACCGGTTGCCGTTCGTTTTTCTTACAATTAACGACCTGTCGGTAAACAGCCAGAAATTGGCGCGCGCGCCGTTGCGCCGTGGGTGCAGCTTTGACGAGCCGAGTAAGCGCCACAGTCTAACCTGTAATTAGGGCACCTTGGGTGTGATTCTAATTAAGGGCCTTGGCTCCCCATAAATCTCCAGCTCGTACGAGGGTCATGTTTGGATGAACCCTGAGGAATCGAATCTTAGGATCGTTTAGAAAAGCAAATCCAACGACCACTATATAATGAACATTGTTAAAGACATAAGAACACAGAAAACGATTAGCGTAAGATCAAATCAATAAGGAAATTAATTTTAAAATATTATCAAAAACATTTACAGAGAAATTAATAATTCTCTAAAAATGTATAAAAATGTATACATTTTTAAAATAAATTTCTTCATTCTTATAAATTTGTTGATAAATTTTAAATCAATTTTTTCTTATATGTATATCACATTGCATAATGAAAACCAACAATTTTCCTTCTTCACGCATATAGGTATATATTCGCTTTTATGGCGTATCGAGAGAACAGGGGAACGAGGAATCAGTTCTGGTCGAATTATTCGTCGCCACCGGCGTGTGTTCTTGCGCAAACGACAAGGCAGCGCAGCCCCCGTTAAGTCGAAAGCTCGGAGGAAAATCGCGCGCGTCCTCGGAATCGGCGCTGTAAGTTGCGGCCGGAGGCAGGTAACCGTACTCATGTTAGCCGAGGCCGCAAACCGCGCCGCGTGTACGCGCGAATAGTCGCGCGAGAGTAAAATCCCGCGTCAGTCAAACGCGCACCATTATGTTGTAAATCATCGGTGATTGTCTGAACTGGAACTCCGACGACGGCGGCGGCAGCGCGAGGATGCGAGTTGGCCGGCTAGTAATAATCAATTTATGCACTTCATCGGCCGCAATAAATTTGTTATTAGCCGCGGCCGCCGTCACCGCCACCGCATTAGTCTATACGGCAGATCGATCCAGGATCGGATGAGAAGAGAAGAAGATCTCGACGAGAGAATAACCAGGGTGTCCAGCAGACTCAATGAAAAAAATTCCCTCACTTTTTAGTGTTATTTTTTCCAAATATATAATTTGCATATATCTATATGATAAATTAATTAAATGTTAAATCATGAAATCTTTGAAATATTTTTGTCAACAATGAAAAGATTCGGAAATTAAAACCAAAATTTAAATCAATTATACAATCTGCATTATTTACGATAATCGAAACAAACATGTCACTATAAACTATTTAAATAATCATCTTTTTATTTATATTACATCCATGTTTTTAGCTTTATCTCTATCAAACACATTGAAATAAAATAACACGACGATGAAAATATAAATTAACGAATCGATTTTTAACAATACAGAAAATTAGCGTGCTGGGAATCAAGGAAAAGTTATATTTATTTAATAAAAATGTCAAATTATTGAGACAAATGTAGAATAATGTGAAAAATTCAGATAAATAGTTAAAATTTCCTGACTTTTCCCTGACAATTCCAGATTTATAAAATTCCCTGGACACCCTGACGAGCACTTATTAACTCGTCTAAAAAAAGTAAATAATAAGATGTAAAATTGTTCTCCCATATTTCTCGTCGATTTCTCTGTCCGACCCTGGATCGATCGAATCTCCGCGCGGTACAGAGATCTATAAATAGGTCCCTAGATCACACGAGTCTCGCACACATCGATACAATATCGCAGTGACGCATGCGTTTGTCGCCTTCTTCGCGCGAGATGTAATATCGGGTTTGATGGACAACGCGATGGTGTCGATGGATCGATCGATTGATGATCCTGCGCCCGGCGCAATCACGCACGGGTTTGTTGGATACGAAATCATCGAGAGAGAGAGAGAGACTCATTAGTCTTTGTTATATAATTACATAATGGCAATTTGATTGTTAGGACCTCGTCTCTTGTGGCTAGAAGTCATCGCCGCGTGAATAATGAATACGTATATCTTTTTACCGGAGCCAATGTTATTATTATTTTAACGCATTATCGCGATAATGGAAATATGTCGTTTTCGTGATTTATAATATTTCTAATCTGGTATTAATTTATGCTGCTTACACTCTCGTTCGAGGAGATATCGATTGAAATCTCCAATCCATCATTATTATGATGGTGTGTGACATTGACAGATAAATAATAATTATTTTAAATTACATGTTCGAAATTTTCTCTTAAATTTTTGCGTCGCTTTATGGAACAAAAATGCAATCAATTTGCAATTTACAGATTGATAATTTTTATCTAAAAAAAAAAAATAGAATGCAACATTTGATATAAAAAATAAAATTTCCCCGACAATTAACAGCTTGTTGTACAAAAGCCACAAAGAGTTTTCGGTAAATTAAAATCCGCCAGTGGGCGTAAACCCTTGGAATTCATCGGGACACGACCGTTCCTTTCCCTCTTTGGGCAAGCGCGACCGGCTCATTTGGTGCGTATTAGTGGAGGATAATGAACTTTTTGAAGCTGCGTGCCGCCTTTTGCGAGAATGACTCCGAGAATGATTCCCGAAAGGAGAAAATTCCCGAGAGAAGGCGAATGAAATACGCCTGTGGGACGTTCCTCTCTCGTAGGACAGAATCCGCTTATTTTTTCAAAAAAAAAAAAAAAAACAGACGGGTTAAATGCAGTCGTAAACGTTCTCACGTCAACACGGAGCATTACAAAGCTAAAAATTGTTTGTACCATAAAGCTTGAATTTTCAATAACTTATGTACACCTACATTTTCGTGTGAATGCTAAATGATATATTGTGCGTTCTGAAAAATCGATTGCGCGGCTCCAAATGAAATGTTAAGCCTAATTAAGTGTCATCGTGGCTAGTTTTCACGATATCACTAAAATAGGCACTTTATTAAACTTCAAATAGAATTCGTCAATAAAGATGTTTCTGCTGCACAACCCCTGTTACGCGGTATTGACACGATGCATTTAATCAGCGTCACAAACACGTAAATTACAATGTATAGCCTGATTATCGACGTCATTTGTCATGTATTTACTTGATACTATTTATCGAGCGCGTATACATGTATAAACTACTTATAAACGCGTCTTACGAAACGTCTCGCAATTGCACGACATGATAAAAATCTCTGTTGCAAATGTTGCCATGTAAACTTTGTGAAAATTGATTATATCTTTCGGGACATTTACTTATTTTTTAAAGTAGATACTTTGGGAGATCGTTCTACAAATAAAATAATATAATGTATAATGTATAATAAATATTGATCTACATTAAATCATCGATTATATCTGTGTCATTAAAATTCCGTAAATTTATATCGATATATGTCAAAGAGTATTTTCGTATTTTTCCGTATCTTAAAGTTATTCACACTTTTTCACACCCGGCAATCTTGTAAAGCACGACACGAGATCTGGCAGAAAAATAGAAGCTGACGGCTTCGAATAAACAGAACGACCAATTCAAGCTGCGAGAAAATATTTTGCCAACATCCCGCCTCAAATAATGATACACATGCGTCAGTTACATCATCGTGTATTTTAAGATTCGGATATTTTACACTCTGCGGTAAATTTTTAGTATGCACATATTTTGACACTATTAATAATTCTAGTCAACACTTAATTTCTACCCGGTTCCGTCACCTCGTATCACAACACTCGAGTTTTAACGAAATGGTTGCGCTATCAATTAGTGTCAGTTAGCCGCGTTTATTTTTATGCGCATCAGCATATAATTGAATAAAGACCTATATTAAGAAAGTTTTACCGATATCATTTATAATTTCCACGTGAGTTTTAATAGGTTTTTACTAGACGTGCCAAGCGCTTTCCCTGGTTCGCGTTTGACATCGGCGACCTGGAAAGTTTCGCAAGGAAATGATTTTCGCTTCTATATCTTGCGAAACGTATTGTATTCCATATGCGTACTATATATCCATTAATATAACACCTGTGTTCTCATTGTGCGTATATGATATATTGATAGTTAAAAACGCGTCACGAATCATTTCAGCATTATGCAAGAAAAAATTTTGAATTTCTTTCTTCCAATCTTCTTCTCCTAGTTCCACAATTATTATTAATCGACTAATAGCAATAAATATATAATCAGCAAAAATAATGAACCGGATAGGAGCAAAAATATGAAACTTTGGTGTCGTCTTATCTTTATATCTATATCAGCATCTTGGATTAAAACAAGTATAATCTTTATTAAATTATCTAGAATAACATTCAGATAATTTGGTTTAGAGTCATAAGACATAAAAATACTTGAATAGCATAACTTTAAAAGTTATATCTAGATGAATCGCCATACAATTTTATCTTTCATCCGAACATATTTAAAACATAAAAATCATCCTCATCTTACCTAAAATTTTACAAATTTTTAACAAATTTAAAAATCATCTAAGCACAACATTGATTATCGCGAAAGAAATTAGAATGTCACCGATCGGCAAGAAAGAGAACAAACAAAATCCAATTAGCGCGAGAACGAAAGGGAGGAAAACGCAGCTCTGGACGGCTGCTGCGCATCTCCAATGTGAAGAACGCGACGATCCCGGTCGATCCCGTGACCGTGCGTGCCGCTCTCGTTCGGGGCGCTTTCCTTCTTTTTTTTTTCTCGCCGCGATCGCCTTTTGACTCCGAACGCGACTCCGGGCCCCGAGAGGAGCCCCCAGCGAAGAGAAGACGAAGGAAGACGAGAGGCGTGTCCGGTCGCGCGGCTTCTACAAAGAGATGCCCACTTCCCAGTGGACCCCTTCCACCTCCTTGGGGATCCCCTTCCACGTGGGCCCCGACCGTCTCGTCGTTTCCCCTACCAGCGGGGCCTGAAGAAAACCGGACGGCATGGTCCAGACCACGAGATCGTCAGGTAAAGTCAGTTTACGCAACGCTTCCGTACACGAAGCATACACGGCGGAAGGTCTCAGACGGAAGCCGGACGTGAAGCCTGACAAACGTAATCTGTGAAGAATCTTCATCTGTCAAAATCATTCCCGAGCGACAAATCGGTTCGCATCGATCGAACGTTGATCGCAGAAATTGGAAAAGGACGATGACAATTGATTGAGGACACCTTTGAGAAATCACACGTCTCTTCGAAGATTATGATATAAGGAGATAGAAAGAGAGAGAGAGACGAGGATCAGGATCATCCGATACGCGCACACACGAGAATGACAACTTACGCGGCCTTCCAGCAATACGATCTCCTGGACTCCGAGGGCTACGGATCGGCCAGTAGCCCGGAATCGAATCCGCGTGGCAATTGGCACCACCAGGAGATCTATCCGCAGCCGCCAAGATCCAGGGGCAGCAGCTGCGGCAGCGTCAGCTCCGTAGACAGTCATCACCAGCAAGAGTATCAAGAGATCGGTAACGCTCCACCAAATGGCAGCCTCCACGTGACCGCTGGCTTCAACTTCGGCGACTTCTACGAGGGCTACTATCAGGAGGGCGGCTGTCGGAACGAGCACCAATCGACGATGAACGTAAACGGCGCCAGGAACGTCAAGGATCATCATCATGCCAAGATGGCCTACAGGATGAACGAGCAGTGCGCGTCTTACGACGACGCAGGCTCCAGGATGATTTTCAACGAAGGCACGAAACAGGAATCGGCGGGATACATTCAAAAACTCGACCACCATCCGGTCGGAATGTTCGCGAATTCCAGAACCGACTTTGGCCAGAGTCAGGAGTCTATGTACGCCGCGAAGAATTACGTGAAAAACGGTATCTATCATCCGCGGAACGAGAGTCATTCCTACACTCCGCGAACCGATGTCCTTTACCTAGGCGCAGCTTATAACGTGCCGAGGAACGAAGCCAACCTGGCGAACGGTCAGCCGAGCAAATGCGATCAGTCGAGGCATCATCAGAGAAACGACGGTCACCACCACGTTCTGCCGGCGGAATACCAAGGACAGAAATCCAAGGAGGTGGTGGCGCAGAAGATGAAGAACAGCACGCCCGGCATCGAGGTGCTGAGGAAGAGGAGACTGGCGGCGAACGCTAGGGAGAGAAGGAGGATGAACAGTCTGAACGACGCTTTTGACAGACTGCGGGACGTTGTGCCCAGTCTGGGCAATGACAGGAAGCTCAGCAAGTTCGAGACGCTGCAAATGGCGCAAACTTATATCGCCGCACTCTACGAGCTGCTGCAGCGCGAATAAACGCGAATTCTCTCCTTGGAAAGGAGATCGAGGGTATTGGTCACCGTTCATGATATTCTTAAAGGAATATTGAATCTGGAGCTTGGAAGCCTCACGAGATAAAATTCACGTTTACAATCGAGATCGACATTATCTTCGTGGGATTCTACGAGGGGTGTTTCCCGTTCCGAGGAGTTCCGGAGAGATGCTAATTGAAAGATCGCTGCTCGAGTCTCTTTGATGGAAAACGAGACCGGTCCTTGACAGAACTTGGACGTTAACCGCAGGTAATGACGAATTATCGGGATATCGAGAACGAGACGGCTCGCTCGCGGAACGAGAATTAACGACGCGAACTGGAAATCGAGTTTGTAACGAGAGACTTCATTAACTTGTAAATGTAAAACTCGACCGTAAACGATGCATAAGCAGAAAAGCACTAAAATACCGGCGTCGTTGACGCGGCTAAGATCTTCAGCGGACTCTCTCGTTACAAACTCGATTGACATGTCAACAAGTTTCGAAAAATCGGCATTTCTTTTTACCATCATTATTGATGTATAAAGTATTATTTTTTAAGATTCAGTATGAACATTCAAAACGGATGAGCTATTATAATATTCTTTAACGAAAAGATAATTCATTTTATCATTACATAACATCTATTTTCGGATTTAACTCTTCTATCAGAGATATAAAGATTAAACATATGTGAATGTTATTTTTTTAAGAATCGAAAGAATTTAATTTAATTTACTGCGATATATATTAAACATATATATATATATATATATCACATAAATAAATCAAATTAAATGATTCCTTCTATTTTTAAAAAAATATAAGCTTTATCAGCTCTTTGAGATAGTATAAATTAATTTAATGTACAAATGAATTATCTTTGGAAATGATCGGTATATCGCCAGGGATATCAAAACTGACCGATTACGAGGTCGACGGGTAAAAAGCCGCTTTTAATTGCACATGTCGGGCTTAATCGAGCGCGTAAGTTTCGCGTTGCGTGGTAATTCATCGTTGATACTTATCCCGGCATTGCGGTGCATCGTTGCGGGATTCCGGAATATTTTTTTTTTTTCCAATCGATCGTGATAGGATCGAAGAGAAGAGCGGGAAAAAGGCGCGACCGACCGGTCCCAGGAACCTCCTGGAAGAGAGCAACCAGCCAACCAATCTCGAAGATCGCGACCGATCTCGCGATGGCTAGGATATTTCATATCGATATCTCGAATTTATTGACAAATATCGTTCGCGTCGAGGAGATATATTTCGCGCAAAAGTCTTCCCGATAATTATCGCTAACGAGAAATGTCAGTGAACTGTCAGAGAGTACGTAATACATTATACGGGTAGGTCAGGACGCATAAAATGCGATGCGTCGAGAGCAGCTTTGTTTCCAACCCCTCCTTTAAATCCCTCGTCAAGCTAGAACGGCGGGGGCGTATTCGCCTCGAGTTTAATTGTAAATAGGCACACCGTCGTACATTGTCGTCCGCGCGAGGCACACCGTGTAAATGTATCTGATTCAAGGCGCGTCTAACTTATTGCGAGGCTGTATAGGTGATTCTGTACATAGATACGTATACGTTTATTATATATGCGTGCACTGCGGGGGCTGCGATCTCCGCTCGCGCGTACGTGCGCACGTGCGTGATCGTTCATTGATGCCACGAGAGTCGACGATAGGCATCAATTCAGGAGTTCACCCCAAAAGGGCGTATCAATTTTTTTAAGAAAAAAAATTTTTTTTAATTATATATATATATATTTTTTAAGAGAAAAAAGTCTATAAGAGACACAAGTAGAGGAATAATCTTGGAAGATAATTATTAAAAAAAAAAGTTTGTGGAAAATGGAGATAAAAAAATGAATTAATATTTTCTTCTTTTCGAGTGAACTCCAATTTTTCATGTGTTTCGAGAGAAATGCTTTAGCATTATACATACGTCCGCCTCGTGTTACCTGAGTATTCATCTAATAATTTTACTGCTCAATGACAATTATTAGGATAATTTTAGGTAATTGCAAATTATTTCGAAAGAGCGATTGCGGCTCTACTTTAATTATTGCATTAAATGCGAAAAAGATCTCACGCTTAGCGCAACTATACACGTTGATTAGTGAAGTTGAAAAATGAAAGAAAAACGCGGGAGATAAAGTCAGTTCCTCCAGATATTTATTAGGTTCGATGTTGTTTATATATATACCTAGCCGTCAATTGAATAATAATTACAATTATCGCAAATTGCGAATCATTATCTCATCGTCAAAGTGCGTAACGTAAAGATAACAATCAATTGCAAAGATTACGTAATAACAAGCATTAATATCTGGATATATTTATCGAGATGACTAGCGGCACATTATCGAGAGCCAGGGAGCTTAATAATCTGAAATCAGATATAAGTATTCGCGAATCACAATCGGATCTTGGATCGACCGTGGATTTTTCTCTCCGAGACGGGACGCGTGACTGGAATAATCTCATTCGGCCGCGATTCAACTCGCGACGCACCTCTCGCGCAATTAGAGATATGCAAAAATCGCGGGACAAATGGCGGCGGCCGGCCACCTCCACTTAGCAGTCAATCACAATTAAATACAATTTTGCGCGGACCGCGGGGCCCGGTAATGGCGCAAAAAGAGAGCAAATTGAAATCTCCTAGCTGACAGAATGATAGATGGTACCGGCCAGACGTGAGAAGACGCGAGCGAGCGACGGAGAGACGAGAATAGAGAAAGAGAGAGACGAAGAAGACAGTCTTTCTTCCATCCTCGCTCGATGTGAGAAAGCTCTTCCTCTCCGTCCGTTCCGCGGAGGAGATTCCGCGAGAGGAAGAATGAAAACACAGAGAGAAGTAAGTCGGGAGCTGATGATAGCGCCACTGCGAAGCCGATTTCTCTCGCTAATATCGCTAATCCTCTCCATCTGTTGAAGATGAGGATCTGATCTTTGCGCGGAGCAGCGGTAATTTATATCGATCGGAACGCGGAGAAAGAGACGAGAGAGATGGGGAAGCTCATTCTCTCTTCTATAACCGCGGTCATTATGGCAGCGCCGTTTAGAATCGCAGATTAGTTACGCGCGCCTCGAAATAAAGCGCGATGATTATTCGCGATGATAAGCAGCGTGTATGATCATTGTAACATTATTCTCTATTCTTACCAACTTCGTGGTCGCATAAATAAAAGTGGCGAATAAAAATACTCTCTTTCTCTCTCTCTTGCGCTCTTGAAAAATCTTATCTAAAAATAATATTTTTTGCTCCGCTTTTCTCTTAGTATTTATATACCCGGAAAATCATGGGACAATATGATATTGGAAGAATTTGATTAGACTAATATTTACACCACGATGCGAAATATTAATATCTACAATAAGATATAAAATACGTTTGATTAATTTTACCATGTACGTATTAATATTTTTTATTGTGGTAAATATTAATGAGAGAAACTCTTATAAAATTCTAAGAGAAAATTCTCTCCGTGTGATTTTGATATTTGAAAATATTTTACAAAATATATTACAAAATCGTGCGTGTGTTGGTATATATATGTATGTCGCGATGAAAGAAAAAATTCTAGGCACAACCGCTGTAATATAATATTTTATAGTTGCCACATTCCTTGTCCCATTATAGGACTCCGCGTTGTAATAGCAGTATTATAAAAGGAGACGATAAGTCGCGCTCATCCACCTGCTCGGTAATCAAATCGCGGGATTAAATTGCCCACGATTTCGCGTCTTCGCGCGCAAGTCTCAAAGAGGGAGCAACTTTTGCGGAGAGAGAGAGAGAGAGAAGGAGATATGGTACCTCTCTCGGGACATTATCATTCAATTGGCACCGCTACCGTCACGGATAAATCACGCGGATAATTAACGGCGAAACAACGAACGAACGCCAATTAATTTCGTTATAAACAACGGGACCTTTGTCCACCGTGCGAATGCATTTTCCACGCCGGCTTCCTCAATTAAGAGACGATAGAGATTTATTTGATTCGCGCGTCGATCGAGAAGAGGACGCTGAGCTAATTATTCACCGGCTCGTTCGCAACGAAGTGAACACACGAAGAACTGATAAAGAAGAGATGGAGAGAAAGAAAGAAATATCAAAGTGCGAGGGGTCGGATACGCTAATGGCGAATCAGACCCACATGTGTGGGCCTTTTCCCTCTCGTATCAGCCCTGTACGCGATACACAACAATACACGCGAACGCTAATCAGTCGACGAGCTTGAACGTCTTCATCTACTCCGGACGAGAGGCGCATCAGGCGCGCGCCTCTCGTCCTTCTATCAGCACGATTTGTCTTCCGTCGCGGTTTAATGCGGCTCCAAGGCCAAGGACGAAGTCCCGCGGCCGAGCCTGGAAGCGGGAAATTGAAGTTGCGACAGAACAAACCGGCTCTTATGACAACGATTTGTCTGCCTGGCGCGAACACAGCAGCGAGAAGTAGAGTATCGCTTCTTTTACAAGTCTTTTAGGAACTCTTCACATTCGGCGTATTAGTTGATCATTTCTTGAAAAAAAAAAAATGCAAGTTACTGATAATTATAATAAATAGTTTAAGGGATATTTTCTTCGCGAATTACGAGAATGAAAGCGTTTAGCGTGAGATTTCTTTCGCGTTTAACGCCAAGTTTTTGCGCCGCAAGTGATTAATCATACTTGAAACGATAATCGAGCGGTAACTGTGTAAAAAGGATAAACTCTGCGATCGCGCGATCTACCTGTTGTACAATGATCTCTTTTGTGCCTCCCCTAGGCACGAGAAGAAAGATAATTTTCCACTTCACGGCAATCTCGCGCACGAAAGGGGAACTTTTTCGAAGACTGTATTTTGCGCTGTTAGCACTGCCGCCAAGTACCTTTGTAAATAGATTGTTTTTTTTTGTACCTAGATACGCGAGTTAGATGATAAGAATTTAGCTCTGTAAGTCGGTCCCTGTAGGATTAACGAAATAAATTCCCACCAATAATGTTCCTCGATCAAGACCAAATGTATTTAAGAATGTGCAATGTTAATAAAGAAAAGATTTCTTTGGAAAAAAAATTCCTGTCGTTCTTCAGCCATCGACTTCAACGTCTTATCCATCCTTTATTTATTCCAAA